ATTCCAGATGAGCTGCTCCCAGGAGAATCCCAACCAACCCTCTTGGTTTCCCAGAGCAGATCCAGGCAGGTGCACTCCACAGGTCCCTTGTCTGGAGTATAGCTTGAAGAGGTCCTGGAGTCCCTGTGGAGAGGAAATGGAAGGGCCACCAGGAATCCAGGGTTCAGAGGCATCCCACAGGAGATGATCCAGTGAGCAGAGACAGGCAGCCCCAACCTGCCATCCCAGCAAGGTTGCCTCTGAGCCTCGGGAGAAGCTCTCCCCGCACTGACGCCCCCCGCCCCCCGCCCGTGGCCACTGTTGGGGAAATCTGAGGGTGGGATGTGGGGCTGGAGGAAGGCAAATTCCTGGAGAAGGAAGGCCACAGAAAGAGGCGGTGTGGTGGCGGGGAGGGAGGGCAAAGGGTCTTGTTCTGGGAATCCTTCCATTCTCCCTTGAGGGAGCAAGGCGGATCAGTGGGTTCCACCTCTACTGTGAGCACGCAGTTTGAATCCTAGCTGTTCTACTTCCGAGCCGGCTCCTTGTTGATACACCTGGGCAAAAAAGCAACAGAAGATGGTCTAACTACTTGGACCCCTGCACGCATGTGGAAGACAAGCATGAAACTTCTGGCTCCTGGCTTGCACTGAAGCCATCTGGGGGTGAAGTGGTGGATGCAAGAGATCTCCCCTGTCTCTCTCTTTTCCTCTGCCACTCCGCCTTCTAAATAAATAAATACCAGGCCTGGCGCAATAGCCTAGTGGCTAAATCCTCTCCTTACATGAGCCAACATCCCACATGTGCACCCGTTCATATCCCAGCAGCTCCACTTCCCATCTAACTCCCTGCCTGTGGGCTGGAAAAGCAGTAGAGGATGACCCAAAGCCTTGGGACCCTGCACCCATGTCAGAGACCTGGAAGAAGCTCCTGGCTTCTGGCTTCAGATTGGTGCAGCACCAGCTGTTGTGATCATTTGGAATGAACCAGCAGATGCAAAATCTTTCTCTTTGGCTCTCTTTTTCTGCATAACTGCCTTTCCAATATATATATGAAATACATATATAATACATATATATTGGAAATACATATATATGTTGGAAATATATATATAGGAAATATATATTCATATATATATATTTATATTTAAGTTCCCGCAGGAAACATTCCCAGCCGCACTGACAGGCACACATGTACTAGGAAAGGCCATGTCCCACGTGGCTTATTCTCATATTATTCAGGGTCCTTACTTGACAATACTTTTAGCAAGTGTTTGCATCTTGGTGCAGTTCGTTTGCTTGCTTGTAGAATAGAAGTGCCATTCAGGCAGGGCTATTTCTAATTGGTTACCCTGAATATATTCTGGGAATCTGATACATTATTGGATAGAGGGAGCGTAGAGGAGGTGTGAGGATCTGCCAACCAGGAGAAAGCTGTAAGTTGGACAGACTCGGAATCATTTCTCATGGGTGCTAATCAAGATCACAGCATAAAGAAGACAAATGCAAAAAGGGGCAAGGGTCAGGGACTGACTGAGGAATCCCTACTGGGGATGAAAGCAGGGAGTAATGAGCAGGAACCAAACAGGTTCATTAATGTCACCCACTGCCCCGCCCGGTAATCCTTCACTGGGTACCAGCACCGGCACCATACTGGGTGCCAGGCAGACGAGGGCAACCCAGCCCTGATCCCAAGTGGCCTCCCCTGCCACAGGTACACAGGATAGCCACTCCAGATCTGCGTGGGAAACATGAGAGGATCCAGCCCCACCAGCCAGCTAGCGAGATGGGGACTGAAGACGGATCTGGCTGGGAAGTTCATGGTTGATTACGTGTTTATCTCTTGAGAGTCCAGCAGCAGATGAGTCATCCCTGGTGCCCGCAACCACACACCCAGAGCTCTTCTTCATGGCCATTCCCAACCCACAGATCTGTCAATGACTCGGGTAAAGTCAGAGAGGTCCAGCACTCAGACCTGTGGCTGCACAGCTATCTGTTGGGAGCCAGGGCTGGGAGAGTAGGCCACAGAGCCAGGATCCGAAGGTTCCTGACAAGCCAGCAGCCTTGGGATGACTCTGAAAGATGGCACCTAACAGTGACACATGGCAGGACTCTGTATCCACAGTCCAACATCACAACTCCTAGGACAGGACAGAGAGGTAGACAGGGGTATGTTAGAGATACCTCCTGGGCTGGCACACATTCTCGCCATGAGGAAAGCACACTTGGACTGGGACATGTGGGTTGCAAGTTTCTTCTCTATCCCTCGTTGACTGAATCTGTTCCACAATGTGTAAAACAGAAACAATCATGTCCGTCTTCAGCTGAGAGAAGAGCTGAGCCCCAACCTTGCAGATGTTGCATTCCATCATTAAGACATAATTGGTTCCTGCTTTTGAGCATGCGTATGAGCTCAGACCCCTCTCAAACGGAGCCTGATGGTCACAGGGCTAGATGGGCGGGCTTCAGGTAGATAACTGAAGGCAGACACACCAAGCTCAGCAAGCACAGGGAGCAAGGGGCACGGGGGTGGAGGGGCACAGGGTCTTGGCAGCCAGGCAAGGAGCCAGAGGCTGGCACTCAGGAAGGGAAGGAGATCGCAGCGGCCAGCTACAAGCCAGCGCAAGGAGGGTGGACTTGACACAAGTGACACTAAGTTGTTTTTTCTCTTTTACGTATTTATTTATTTGAAAGAGTGACAGAGACAGAGAAAGAGAGAGGCTTTTCATGGTTTCACTCCCCAAGTGGTCCCAAAAGCTGGGGCTGAGCCAGGCCAACGCCCAGGGCTGGGAACTCCATCCAGATCGCCTATGTGGTGGCACAAACTCAGACACTTGCATCATCACCTGTCCTTCCCAGATGCATCAGCAGGGAGCTGGACAGGAAGTCATCAGGAAGTCATCCCACCAATATGGGATGCGGGCATCCCAAGAAGCAGCTTAACTCGCTGTTCCCATACCACAGGTTTGAGAATGTGTTCATACTTGCATTTAGAAAGGTTGCCCAACTTCCCTGGGAAGGGTGATAGAACCACTGATCCAGAGAGAGCTGAGGCCAAGCAGGAGGCTGTGGCCAAGGCCCAGATGAGGTCTGGATGACAACACAGCAGTGGAGCGAACAGAGTGGACACGGACCAACGCCTTTGACCACTCTTCCTTCACCTCTGCAGTAGCCCCAATCCCTCGGAGGACCTGATGTGTGAGTGTCCATGCCCCAGAAACTTCTGAGCTGGGCTCAGGTCAGGTCAGTTGGCAGCACTGCTCAGCAGGTGGATGGACGTGGCCACCCTGAGGCTCCAGTGACAGAAGCAATGAAACCATGGAATAAGGGAGGGGCACCTGCACTCTGCAGCCTCTTGTCTGTAGGCATCAGTAACGGCAGACAAGCGGCAGGCCCGGAAGCTGGGGCAGTGGCAAGCAGAAGCAGGAATGAGGGGTGCAGGCAAATGGCAGCATGCTTATCTCTACGTCCCCTGCACGCATGGTGCCCTCAGCTCTAACCATAGAATGGCCCCACACAGGCAGCCTATCACAGGGTGTGACGTCCTGGAGGGAGAAGCTGTTAGAGAGGAGAATAGGATAGAGAAGTCCTGGGAGGGCCACTTTCCTGGGTAGGGACTTGGGATGGGCCAGGTGGAATCCCAGAGGACTCAGGCTCTGAAATAGCTTGCACAGCAGCTGAAGAACCCAGGTTTGGGTCGAGGTGAGAGCAAGGGACCAGGATAGGGGACCAACCAACCCTGAGACCACCATGGAGCAGCCACCTCCCAGGCACCGCTGGTCAGAGTGGTGAGACTCAGTGGGGACAGGCTCACCTGCCACTCGGAGTTAATATGTCAGTCCTGCACCACCCTTGGCCCTCTGCTCAGGCCTCAGACCCCTGTCCCAGCTAAGCAGTCCCAGAAATGCTTTCCAATCCTTCTCCAGGTTTCGTGCCTCCAAATCTGCTCTCCTGACTGAGCCTGAGTAATCTCAAAGATGCCACAGCCCTTGAAACAGAATTCAAGCCCCACACCCACCACCCACATCCACTCTGCTCTGGCCTCACCCAAACTATTCATCATGCAAATTGTCTCTTCTCCTTGGGAGATCCTTATTCCCAATCTCAACACTGGGAGTCCCTCTCCGGGAAGTGTTCCCACAGCAGTGCAAGCCTTGGTTGCTCCTGCAAGCCCCCTCTATCAAACCATCTTATTTCACCCCCTCCCCGGACCTGTGGGCTCCTCTCACCACTGACACCTGTTCAGAACAAGTCCCTGACTCCCTGGGGATCTCAGGGGCTCCCCCTGCGGCTCCTGTGCCAACCCAAGAGGATGAGGCCCCTGCCAAGCAGGAGATCCCACGTGCCAAGAAAGACAGCCCCACCTGCAAAGAAGCACCCAAGCCTGAGGCAGGCACAGCAGAGAGAGATAGCGCAAGTCCAGCAGGGCTCCAAGGAAGGAGGGAAGGCCTGCAGCACGGGACAGAACAGAGCCAGGCCCCCAGGCTGAGTGGGGGATAGAGGAAGAGAACCAGCTGCAGTGTCCAGCCAAGTAGGACGGAGTCCAAGGACAGCAGGGGTGAGGCAGTGGTGGGATACCAGCCATGGGCGCCTTGGGAACAGGACAGCTGCAGCCGGCTCTGGACAGGGGAGGCAGCCTTGCCCCCCGCCTGGGCTTGACCCCCAGTGCCCTAATAACCACAGCCAGAAAGCACACAGACAAGGAACTTTTTTTTTGAGTGTTGGTGGGCTGGCCCAAGTCATAGCCACCGGCTACCCCATGGGGGTGGGGGATCGGGGCAGAGAGAGGGGCGCAGAGGGCGCAGAGGGCGCAGAGGGAGCACAAGGCTGAGTTGGAGGCCTGTGCATCTGCAGGGGCAGGTGAGGAAGACAGCGGGGGGGAGGCATCTGCCCCTTGCCCAGTCTCTCCTCCCAGGGTGGTCCCAGGGTGCTGGCAGGGTCTCCTAGCCAGCAGCAGTACGGAGTGCAGGGAACTTGTGTCCTCCAGCCCAGGAGGCCGCTGGCCCTCAGGATGGCCGCTGGTCCTCAGGATGGCAGCTTCTCGGGGCTCATCAGCTGCTCCACCTCCCGCATGAACCGCAAACACAACTCTTCCTGCCAGGGCAGAGCCACGCACTGCACGGCCACAGGCAGCCCCACGCTGTTCTTCATGGCCTACAGGGGATGCAGGCGGGCATCAGGATGGGGCTGGGAGGCAGGCCCCCATCCTGGGTCTGGGCAAGTGCCCCAGTGGGATGGAGAGGTCAGGGGCAAAGCCAGTCCCACCCTGCCCCGGCCTTGGGGCCTTGCTTGCTTTCCTTGCTGCTTTCTCTGCAGCAGCCAAAGGTGAAGGGATGGAGGGTCTCAAGGGGGCCTCACCTTCTTCAGCACCTTGTCCCAGATGTCCCCAAAGTAGCCCTTGTAATGGTCCATCTGGGCCTCATCCTCAGGGGTCACTGTGGTGACGGGCACCACCCCCGCTGGGAAGTCCAGGCAGTTGTAGAGAAGGGTGTAGCTAACAGCCCCTGGAACATAGCGCACACAGGGACTCAGTGATCCCCTCTGTGAGATGGACCTTTCAGAGGCAGGGCGGGGCATGGCAGGTGCTTGCTCCCGCCCATTCAGGTCCCTCTTGCATGCTGTCCTTGTTCTCCGGGCTTCTCTAAATCCCACCTGGAACTACCTCCCAGAACTAAACTCTAACTAGAGACCCAGTGCTGGTGACAGGGGCTCATGCAGACCCAGAGTGTCTCAGGAGACTCCTCCTGTCTGTGCCTATAGCCACTGGGCAGGGGCTGGAGGGGGCCATCCTCCACCAGGGTTGTTGCTCTGCCTTCATGCAGCAGTCCCACAGGCTGAACTCATAGAAGGGACAGGAGAGGCAGGGGTAGGGGTGCAGGTCGACAAGTCTCACCAGTGGCCTGGCCGGGGGCATTCAGGTCCATAGCAGGGCTCAGCATAGGAGTCAGCAGCACATCCAGGTCGAGTGCCCTCCACTGGGCAATCACGGTATTGCGATACACCTGGGAGGGGAAGTGCTCAAGACTGGAGTGGGTGTGCAGTTGGCAGTACCTGCCTCCCCCAACCCTGTCCCAGGGACTGAGCCAAGAGGTCAGCTGGGCAGGCAGGGCTGCTTCTCCGGGGGGACAGTAGCTGTTCTATGTCCCTCATGAATCACAGATGTGACTCTGCATGCACGGCTGTGTGGCCGGTATGGGAATCCCAGCCTGATCTAGCCCCAAGGCCAGGCCTGTGCCCAAGTGGATCTGGGAAGTGGACCAGGGAATGTCAGGCCACTCCAGGAAATTGGGGGGACAGCAGCCGAGAGACCCTCCCAGCTCCACCCTCCACTAGGCGCTCTGGCCTCACCTCAATCTTGTGCTGCAGTTCCCAGAGCTTTCCAGCCGACCTGGGCAGAAGGAATGAAGTCACTGGCCGTGAGAGGTGCAGCACGGGCCTAGCAACCTGGGCTTCTGCTCCTAACACCTGGATCTCGTCCCTCCTGGGGCCCTGCTCAGCCCTCGGGGCTCTGAGACGGCCGAGTCCAAGCCCTCGCTGTCCGGACCAGGGCACCATGCTCCGAGAAGAACCCTGGCTGGGTAACTCAGGGACTCCACAGCAGAGCCAAGACCAGATGGCGTCTAGTCCCTTACCACCCTCGGGAAGCAGGAGGGGCCAAGGCTGCCGGAGGCTCCGGATGCCTGGAGGTCAAACACATGCGTGTGCAGGACGGCAGGGCCGGTCATGGGCAGTTTAGAACCTGCTCTTCCAGCTCGAGCGTCTGCTGTCCACAGCTTCTGGCTGCTCATCTGAGAGCTCTGTGTGGCCGGAGCAGCAGCAGGTGCAGCCTGTTCTATCAGGTCCCTGAGGGGAGCATCTTTTGGGTTCCCAGTGAAGCACTCCCTTGTGCCTCCCCACTAACCCAGGCCAGTTCCTCCCTCGTCCTTCCCACTCCTGCCCCACAGTCTCTCCTACCCAGCTCTCCAGGCAGCCCTGTGGCCCCCAAGACAACATCAAGATCCCACCAGCAAGCCCCCACCACCACCTAGGCTATTTCCACTTTGGAATTACTTCCCTGTCAGAACCCCAGACCTGGAACCAAAGGGGTGGGCAATGTTCTCACCGAGGCATCATGTTACTGAGAAAGGACGCCATCCTGGGGAGCTGTAGGATACACACAGGGCCAAGGGCTGTGCTGGCCTCTTCAGCCAACTCCCCGGACCCTGGGCCCACCCCTCCCAACATGCTGGCCAGCAGAGGGAGACGGGGAAGACAGCAGTGTTGGGGGCAGGGGCGGCGGCCGGGAAAGAGGCTTCAGGGAACGGGAGGCCATGCCCACTCCAACTGGGAGTGGGATGGGGTGCCCTGGGCTCCCCGCAGCAGCCCCTACCCCTTGTGCCCTCACCAGTGGCTTTAGCAGGAAGGCCAGCAGTCCTTTTAGCCACTTGGGCAGCCTCAGGATCAAGATAAGGTCCCCCAGGCAAGGGTCCACGATGTCACCTTTGCTGAGAGACAAAAAGCCCTGTCCAGGCACTGCTATTTCCGAGCCCCCCGGGGTCCACCCTCCCACCACTGCGCCCCCTGTCCTCTACAGTAACACTGTCTGTCCCACCTCCTGTCCACAGGCTCCACACCTTGTTTCTCTCCCATCAACACGTGTGTTATTCCTACTGAATCCTTGGGGCCCTCCTGAGCCCACCGGCCTTCCCCAAGGCAGGATGAGGGGTCTCTCCAGTGGGAGCAGTAAGGATGGAGGGCGATCTGGCCCCACCCAGGCTGCTCTCCGAGGCCATCTCCCTGTGCACATTGCTGCCAGCCCCAGCCTGCGAGGCACAGGAGTGGGCTCCAGAGTGGGCTGCCCATCAGGCTGCCTCTGGCTCATGATCTCAGGGTTGGACTCGGGCAATGGCTCCCGGGGTCGGGGGAGAGGTAACCCCCTCCACACGGGGAGGCTGGGGTAGGGGGAGCAAATAGTAGGCCAGGCCCGTGGTAGAGGGGAGACTCAGCTTCCCGATGGGTGAGACAGTGGAAGTGAGTGAATGGCCCAAGAAGTCCCAGGCCGGCAATAGGGATGCTCACCCAGCACCCCCTCCGCCAGTTCCCTTCCAAGGATTCCTCAGCAGGGTATAAGGGTCCAACCTCACCTGACACAGATGGCAGGATGGCAAGACCTCTGCCCAGGGTGCCCAGGCTGTGTTCGGCAGAGGCCCCTCCTGGGACCCCCAGCACCCAGCTGTTCTTCCTGTGTTTGCCCAGTTTCCGCACCTGCCACCCCCTACAGACTCCCCAAAGGCCAACATCACTCACAAGTTCTCGAGGAAGCTTTGGCCACCGTCACTGAACAGTCCCCCGGTAGCCAAGGTTTCCATGGCATAGGCAATGTCGCTTGGCAGGAAGGGAACCAGCTGCAAGGAGGGAGAGGGCTGTGAGACCCCCTCCCCTACAACCCTGGGCTCCTAGGGGCCAGGCGGCCTTGGCCAAGGATAGGGCCAGCACTGCCTGCAGGTCGGCTCTCCCGGGAGCTCCAGGGACAGCCCTGCCTCCCTGTGGACACTGCCTGCGAGGGCCCATCTGGGCCGAAGCCAGAGGCTGCATGGAGCTGTCTCAGATGAGCAGCCAGAAGCCATGGGTTGCACTTTCAGAGCCCTAGGTAGATGCCCCAGATGGGGTACTGAGTTCACTCTCAAACACAGGCCCTCAGTTCTCATCCTGAGAACAAACCCACCAGAGTGCCAGGCCCACAGGCTCCCGTGGCTGTACCGTGTGGCCAGCAGCCTCCAGGCGCTTCTTGGTCTCCAGCACAGCCCGCCTCATGGCTGGGGTAGGCATTGTATAGTTGTCAGTCTCATAGTAGCCCACACGCAGGGGCCGAGAGCTTGTATAGACCTGGAGGGCAAGACGCTGGAGGTCAGAGACAGTCCTAATAGGGAGCATCAAGCAACCGTTCACACCCCATGCTCTCACCTGGGAATCCTGTGCCCAACTCCTACTTTGTCACACCCCTGACCCAGTGCCTACCCTGCCCCACCACGCCCCAACCCACTGAGAACCATGGGCCTCAAGCTCCACTTCAGAGCCCTAGTGAATTCCCACCCGCCACTTCACACCTGCTTATTACCCCGAGATGCCACTGAGGCTCTGCCGAGCTGGGAAAGCACCAGTTGCCGGGATGGCATCCAGGGAGCCAGCAGTCCACCCTGCTCTTGGGTCCTAGCTCCCTACTAGACACTGAGGCTAGACCTACATGAACACTGTAAGAAAAGCTGCTATTTACTGAGGGACAACAGCTGTGGAGGCACAGAAGTTCTCCTCCAAGGAGTTCTGGGGTCCGGGAGAGGCTGCTAGCTTTCCTTTCTTAGCCACAGCCGCAAACCCTTGAAAGTCTGAAGGCTTCCAAGCCAATGGCGCCGCCTACTGGCCATGTGCGGTGTAGCCGTTGACCCCAGCCTCCCAAGCCTGCTTGGAGCCGCTCCTGCTCACCTCCTCCCTGAAGGGCAGCGGGGGCACGGTGGGATCCAGGCGGAACATGTCCTCGCACAGCAGGGCTCGCAGGCACAGCGCCAGGCTCTCCACATCCCGGGCCATGGGACCCACGGAGAGCTGCACTGCGGGCCAGGGAGGGAGAGAAGCTGTGGGGCTGGATTGGGGTGAGGACAGGGCCACGGCCCAGGAATGGGCAAGTGACAAGGATGCAGGAGGTCAGACCTACAGTGGCATGGGGGAGAGGGGGAGGGCAGCGTGTGTGGGAAGGCGGCGATCAGGCCAATATGCCCTCCTCCAGGCACCGAAGGACACAGACCTTACCTGCTACCTGTCCATAGACGCAGCCCTTCACACCACTCTTGCTGGAGGAGAAACAGGAATCATTGGCAACAGGAAACGGCCACCCTCCTCCACCCCTGAACACCCACAAGGCAGCTCTGAACTTGAACCTGGGACCCCACCCAGCAAAACCCCAGGCAGTGAGTCCCTGGGGCACAGAGAGGCTAGAAGCTCTTACAGGCCTAGAGGCTTCCCCAGTCGGCATACCTGATGCGGTTCCCAGTGGGCTTGAGGCCACAGATGCCGCAAAAGGCCGAGGGGAAGCGGATGCTACCTCCGATGTCGGTGCCTAAGCCCACTGGGGAGCCCCCAGACCTGATGAGGGCCCCCTCGCCCCCGGAGGAGCCACCTGGGCTCTTGGTGGGCTTCCATGGGTTCCTGGTCTGGCCGAAGAGGGGGTTGCTGCAGTCAAAGCTGGAGGAAGCAGGACCAGGTCAGTGATACCCTGCTGGCCCCCAGGCCCTGTGCTGTGGCCACCCGCCATGCCCTGCTCACTGCCCCCCAGGTCAGCGATGCCCTGCCGCCCCCCACGCCCCATGCCCTGGCCCCCCGCCATGCCCTGCTGGCCCCCAGGCCCCGTGCCCTGGCCCCCGCCATGCCCTGCTCACTATCCCCCAGGCCCCATGCCCTGGCCCCTGCCATGCCCTGCCGGCCCCCAGACCCCGTGCCCTGGCCCCCGCCATGCCCTGCTCACCGCCCCGCCCCCCGGACCCATAGCAACCTGAACATGGACTGAGGGATGTTGGTTTGTACAAAGGGCACAGCACCCTGCAGCTTGAGCACCTGTACCACCACGCTGTCGCACTCAGCTGGCACCCCCTCGTGCAGGCTCAGCCCCATCGTCGAGTCCTGGCCCTGGAGGGCAGAGAGATACAGAGAGAACACCCCTCAATGAGACAGGGGCCCCTTGGAAGCCTGGGGGCCACCCTTGCCAGTGTCACAGGGGTCAAGGCAAAGCGCAGCCACACCACCCTCCCAAGGCCTCTGGGCTTGGTCCTCCCTCCGAGGGTCCAGAGCCGGCTGGCTGGATGTGGGGACAGTGGCAGGTGCACGTGGGGGTGGTACCTTGCAGCTGAAGCACTCTTTGAGGCTCACAGGGACACCGTAGAGCAGGCCTCGCCTGGGGGCCTGGGACAGCTGCTTCTCACAGTCGGCCAGGTAGGCGGTCACACAGTTGGTCCCTTTGTTTACCTCCCAGGCCTGTGGAGGGTAAGTGGGCACGAGGCAGCATTGCAGCTGGCCTCTAAAATGTAGTAAAATATACAGAAGATAGAAAACTGCCCTTTATTAGCTAACCAGGGACATGTTCACCTGAGCCGAGAGGCCTAGGCCGACATCCAGCTCACTGCGCATGTCTGGTCCCAGCCTCAGCCTGGCCACCCCTGGTCTTTTTTTTTTTTTTTTTAAGATTTATTTTATTTTTATTGCAAAGTCAGATATATAGAGAGGAGGAGAGACAGAGAAGAAGATCTCCTGTCCACTGATTCACTCCCCAAGTGGCCATGATGGCCAGTGCTGAGATGATCCAAATTCAGGAGCCCAGAGCTTCTTCTGGGTCTCCCATGCGGGTGCAGGGTCCCAAGGCTTTGGGCCGTCCTCAACTGCTTTCCCAGACCACAAGCAGGGAGCTGGATGGGAAGCAAGGCCACCGGGATTAGAATCGGTGCCCATATGAGATCTTGGCACATGCAAGGCAGGGACTTTAGCCGCTAGGCTACAGCACCAGATCCATCTCTGGTCTGTAACCAAGACAGAGAGAGAGAGAAAGAGAGAGATCCCCCAGGGCTGGGCACAACAATCAGGATAATCAAGGGAACATGGCCGGACCTCGGCTGCCCCATTAGCAGGAGTTGAGCTAGGAGAATGGCCACTGGCCACACCCCCAGCCTCCACCAACCCACACCTCTGTCCAGTCAGGTCAACAGGAAATAGGCATGGATGGACCCCAGCTCAGGTCAGTGTGGGAGAGTAGGGCTAGATCCAGGCCACATCTGTGGGGTCCAGCACACTCTCCCTCTGCCCCCAGGGGGTCCCAGTGCACCTCTTCCCGCCCCCACAGGAAAGGCCAGGGTGGGACGTGGCACAGCTGTGTTAGTGATTGTTCCTGCTCTATGAGGCAGCTGAGGACAGCAGGGACCTGTGACATGCGCTCCTGGTTAGGTCTGCTCCCCGGCACGCACGCTCAAGTAGGCACCTACAATACATGCGTGTCCTTGCAAAGCTTTCCTCCCCTTGTGGCTCTTGTGCTCAGCACTGAAGCTCACAGACACGGGACAAGCTCCATCCAGAGCCATCGGGGCACGGGGGAGCGAGGGAGACAGGCCTTGCACTGTCTGGAGAACTGCACCGTATCGGGGTGGAGGGGTGGGAAGGGTGGCTGCTTCTTAGCAGTGCCCTCTGCTCTAAGCCCGACAGGCAGCCTCTGAGGAACAGCCTTCCAGGCACTGTGTCCTGAGCTGATGCTGCAAAGCGGCTGCTGGAAGCAGTGGGGGGTACAGGGGCACAAGGGGGAGGGCTGGAGAGAGACGCAGGGAAGGAACAGACTGGACTTGGTGGCCCATGGCGTGGAGACGGGAAAGGAAGGGAAGTCTGGGCTGAGAGCCAGGCTGCCAGCATGGACAAGAGCCAGCTCTGGCTCTTGGCTCCCTGGTAGGGCCTGGCACCGTGGTCCCAGCACGGCCCACAGTGGGACATGCTCCCTGCTACCAGCATTTCCTTATAACCTGTGCAAAGAGAGAGACACACACACACAAAGAGAGTAAGAGAGTGAGAGAGAGAGAGAGAGAGAGCAGAGAGAGCAAGGAGCAGGCAGGCTCCTGGCCGGCCACAGCGGCTTTGGCCTTGGTCTTACCTTTCCGACATAGGAGAAGAGCGCAGCTTCAGGGGACAGCTCCCCGTTGTCCAACTTCTGCACCAGTTGAGGCAGGGACAGGGCCAGCAGCGCCTCTGAATCCAGGCTGGGGTTCTATGGAGACATTCTGGGATCAGCACCCCCACTCCTATAAACCCCATCTCCACGGGCACTTTGCCCTTGGTCCCCAAGCAGGCTCAAGTAGAAACTTTCTGCCTTAGGCCAAGGCTCGACAATGTGCCCAGGGCAGCTCTGATACCAGAAGCCTAAGAAGGCCTTGGTCATGCCAGGTCAAGTGCAGAGAGCATTCCAGAGGCCTTGGGGCTGGGCTGGCGGTGGCGGGGGGGGGGGGCAGGAGCCAGACACAATGTTCAGGCAGATTAATTTTTTAGTATAAAGTTTTATCTTGTTTTATTTGAAAGGAAGAGGGGCAGAGAGATCTTGAATCAGCTGGTCCCCTCCTTCAGACACCTGCAATGTGAAACAGCCGAGACGGTCAGGGATTGGGGACTCAATCGGGGTCTCCCCTATAGTGCACAGGGAGCCCTCACCTGTGTCTCCCAGGTATACATTAGCAGAAAGCTGGAATCCGATGTGCAGCAAGGACTCAAACCCAGGCACTCCAAGCCTGTCTAAGCTAATGGCTGGCGAGCAAACCATTGCAGACACTTGCCCATCACAGATGCCTACTGTGAGCCAGGCACTGTGCAGATGTACTTCACATTTTAATTAGATCCTACCACCAGACCCACTGCACACAGGAATGGAAGAGTAGGGGAAAGCAGTGTGAGATGGCCCAGTGTTTTGGGCCCCTGCCACCCACATGGGAGACCCAGCTGGTTCCTGGTTTCAGCCTAGCCCAGCCCTGGACATTGTGGCTATCGGAGAAATGAATAAGTGGATGAAAAAAAAATCTCTGTCCCTCCTTTTTTCCCTTTGTAATCCCGACTTCCAAATAAATAAAACAAAAATCTTTGGGTCCAGCTCGGTAGCCAAGTGGCTAAAGTCCTCGCCTTGCACACACCAGCATCCCATAGGGATGCTCATTCTAATCCCAGCGACTCCACTTCCCAGCCAGCTCTCTGCTTATGGTCTGGGAAAGCAGTTGAGGAAAGCCCAAGGTCTTGGGACCCTGCACCCATGTGGGAGACCCAGAAGAAGCACTGGCCATTGTGGTCACTGGGGAGTGAATCAGTGGACAGAAGATCTTGCTCTCTGTATATCTGACCTTCTAATAAAAATAAAATAAATCTTTAAAATAAATAGATAAATAAATAAATAAATAATCTTTAACAAACTGACAAACAAAAGCAATGGGGGAGCAGAATGAGGAAGCAAGTGGCAGCGTGCCCTGCCCAGCCAACATAGGCTGCACACCTACAGGTCCTCCACCTAGCCCTGACCCACCCAAGCCCCGGCAGAGGAGGCCAAACACAAGAAGTGCCCAGCCAGGATGGCTGGGCCTGCAACCAGAGACCACTGCCAGAGAGGGAAGCCTTGTCCTACAGCTAGGTCTGCGCCAGGCACCCCCAGGAGGCGCTGAGTAAGGAGGCATATCCGCCTGAGCTGGTATAGGGCAGGGCGAGGGGACAGGCAGGTGGATGGTGAGAAGTGACCTAAAGAAAACAAAAAGGGTGTGGTGAGTAAGCGGTGCCTCCGCCAGCTGGTCTAGATTTGTGGGGGAGAAGGGCCCAGGGGGCCACAGCTCACTGCCACCCAACATCCTGATTGCACCTTGGGGACAGATGTCACACAGGTCCCCCTTACCCTGGCACAGTCACCACAGACCTGCTTCTGGGTGAATCCAGCAGCTGTTGGTCTCTTTCTTATTTCACAGTCTCGCTGGGTCACACTTAGTGTCCCCTTCAGGTGTTCCTGGATGTGGGGATGCTACGGGCTCCTCCCTGCTACTACCTAACAAATTTGTCTTGTTACAAATTTGTAACAAGTTACACAATACACAAGTCATGATAGATGTGACAGCAAACTCAGTGCCAGATGGAGATAATAAACTCAGTGCCAGATGGAGATAACAGAGGACTGCATTCAGCGGGCGTGTGGTCCTGTCTCAGGTCCTGGGCTGGGAAGGGGGAGGAGAAGCCAGGTGTGCTTCCCAGCGGCTTTTTTTCTTTCCTCTCTCAGACTGGACATGGACCTTCCTGATCCCAGCATCCACTCCCCTGCTCCACTAGACACCCCACCTCTTTCCAGGCCTCCACCCAGCCCCCACCAGAGCTCAATCCTGAGCTACCCCTGTGTCCTGCCCTCTGAGTGCATCGCTTCCAACGCTCCCAGCTCCCTGCCCTGGCAGGTGTAGCATCACCCTAGTTCAAGCGACAACACAGGAAGGCTCCTCCCTTCCACTCCCACCTGCTTCCCATCACTCACCAAGCTCTCTAAACAGCTCTGGGAAATGCTCCCCCCGCCCCGTCCCCCATGCTCTCTACCAAGACCCTGTTATGGAAATTGCCCTCCAGAGGCTTGAAAGCCACTTGTGGAAAAGAAGAACCTTTATTTCACCCTAGAGGGGCACCAGCCTGGAGCACTCCATAACAGCTGGGCCCTGATCGGCCTCTGCCTCCATATTTTAGAGAGCAGTTGCATGAGCTACTTCAGCACTGGTGGGGGTAATCGCGTGGAGACAAACGTAGTTTTTTCAGCTTTGGGGCTCTCACGACCTTGGGAACGTCCTGAGTTACTACAGCAGCCAGCATTTCCTTCTCTCCTTCCTTATCCTTGGTATGCTTATCTTTACAAGACTTTGCTGTTCTGAGAAAGCTGTTTTCCTTCTACGTGTGTGCCGTGCCCTGTGTGTGAGCTTGGTTCTTGCCCACCTGCAGGCTGGTTTCCATTTCAACGCTCATCTGCCCTGGGCTCGTCCCTCTCTCCTCCCAAACTACATGCTGCCTTCCTCAAGCTCCGACTTCTGGAGCTGCCCTTCCTGTTAGGGCCAGCCTGGCTCACTTGGCCTTGACCCTCCCTGACATATCCCATCAAGGCAAACCACAGCTCCAGTGAATACTCCAGGAAACACTGCATGGCCATCCTGCCAGGCTTCTCCCACTGCCCCCCCCCCCCCCCCCCCGCCACGGCCCTGTCACATCCACCGCACCTGCTACCCCTTAGCCTTCACATCTGATGGCCTTAATCATAGCAGCAATCTCCAATGTTCGTCACATTAACACAACACCTACCTGGGAACTTTTTTTTTTTTTAAAACAAAGAACTCCAAAAACGAAAAACACTGGTCCCATGATCTCCCTTCAAATATACCAGAAATTCTTGCTGATCTTTCTCTCTCTCTCTCTCTCTCTTTTTGAGTATATAAAATGCAAAATGAGCTTTTCTCCTACATAATCTCTTTTCTGAAAATGAAACAACTGTTAACAGTTTCTGATGAACTCTTACGGGAAAAAAAATGTATATGTTTATGGAGAAGCAGGCGTTGGGCAAAGTAGTTTCAGAAGCTACTGCAGACACCTGCGTGCCATGTCTCAGGTTGCCCGGCTCCCGATCCCAGCTTCCTGAGAAAGCATACCTTGGGATGCACTAGGTGACGGTGCAAGTAGTTGGGGACCAACACCCACATGAGAAATCTGACTTCCTGGATCCTGGTTTTGTTCTGGCCCAGCCCTGGCAGTTTCAGGTATTTGGGGAATGAACCAGCCAATGGAAAATCTCTCTCTTTCAATTAACTTTGTAATTTAAAGAAATGTTTATGGGAAACCCTAATGTACAAGGGCAGTTCAAAAAGTTTGTAGAAAAAAATTGAATTAAGATTACCCAAATGCAAAACATTTTTTTAATGGCCATATCGATGTGGGGGTCTTCAAAAAATCACAGAAAATGTGTAGCATGAAAAAACTATGCATGAGTTTCAAATGTGTGCACCAAAACAGCCGTATCTTTTGGTACCGTTTTCCCACAGACCCTTTGCAGAACACTCACATGCAGCTGTTTCTGTTCATTCTTAACGGTGTGCCTTTCTCATCTCAAGATGAAAGTTAAAAAAACACGTCCTATTCCTCACTAAATACATAGATGCCCATTGTGAGACACACGCACAAAGCTGAAAGCATGAGGAAAGAGGTGACTTGGAGACAAATGCCACCGACAGACTGGGTCACCATCCCTTCCCGCCTCACAACAAGGTGTCCACACAGACCCTGTGCACACCAGCTACATGCTGTCCGCACACCCCCTCCATTTCGTCCTTCTTTCTGTTAAACATTTACTTTTATTTGAAAGGCAGATTTACAGAGAGAGAAGGAGAGATAAAGAGAAAAGTTTCTTCCATCTGTTGGTTGACCACAATGGCAAGACCTAAGCTAATCTGAAGCCAGGAGCTTCTTCTTCTAGATTTTCCATATAAGTACAGGGCCCCAAGGACTTGGTCTATCCACTACCACTATCCCAGGCACACTAGCAAGGGAGCAGGATTAGAACTGGAGCATCTAGGACTCAATCCAGGACCCATATTGGATGCCAGCACCACAGGTGGAGACCTAGCCTACTATGCCATAATGCCAGCCCCTCTTTCTTTCTTTCTTTTTTTTTTTTTAAGATTTATTTAATTTTTATTGCAAAGTCAGAGATACAGAGAGGAAGAAAGACAGAGAGGAAGATCTTCCGTCCGATGGTTCACTCCCCAAGTGTCCACAATCCAAGGCAGGAGCCTTTTCTGGGCTTCCCATGTGGGTGCAGGGTCCCAAGGCTTTGGGCCATCCTCAACTGCTTTCCCATGCCACAAGCAGGGAGCTGGGTGGGAAGTGATGCCGCCGGGATTAGAACCGACGCCCATATAGGATCCAGACACATGCAAGGTGAGGACTTTAGCTGCTAGGCTATCGTGCCGGGCCCTCTTTCTTCTTTTTTAAAGATTTATTTTTGGTCTGGCGGCGTGGCCTAGTGGCTGAAGTCCTGACCTTGAACGCGCCAGGATCCCATATGGACACCAGTTCTAATCCCGGCAGCTCCACTTCCCATCCAGCTCCCTGCTTGTGGCCTGGGAAAGCAGTCAAGGATGGCCTAAAGCCTTGGGAGCCTGCACCTGTGTGGGATACCTGGAAGAAGTTCCTGGATTCTGGCTTTGGATCGGCATAGCATCGGCCGTT